CAGAAACATTTGGCGGCAAACAGCGGCAATGGCACACCCATAGAGATATGGAGACACGGAATATCGCGTCGTAAGGCCTCGAGAAAAGCAGCCCTTGCCTTGGGAGCGCCGGGCACCTTCGGAAGACCAACCGCTGGAGGTGGACAGCATGCGAGCCGGTGGATCAGGACTGAACAGGCGGGCCCGTGATCGGGGATAACCCGAATATACTACACCGAAACATTAGCAGCACCTATCCTCTCCACTTGGTATAATTGACCTGTCCGCAAGTGCTTCGCGAGCACTCCGGCAAGAAAGAAGCATTATTGCTTCCAGAGACCTCTGCCGCAGGCAGGCAACAGCAGAGATGAGTGGACTATAGAAAAAATACTTCATCACTGCGTTAATACCTACACCCATTACCCACAAAATGGAGACTGACACTACGGCCTACCGACAAAAGTTACATCAAAGATTTCTTTCACCGTTTCCCTGATTCTAAGTTACGTGAGCAAAAAGAATAAGCGGACAGCGTCGAGCAATTGTTCAGAAAATCTCCTCTCTCACCAGTTTGGAAGCAATCAAGGAATAAGTGAGAAACATGCTAAAACTCCTCAGAAACCTAGTAAATCTGACGGCAGTGAAGACAATCAGCTGTCAAACTCGGATGACAATGGACAAGCACTGGCAGAAAGTATGGATGATAAGATAGAGAAGAGTGGAAAATTCCAATGAATGAGTCCACTTGCGAATTTGAAGGAACTGACCACTGAACCGCTATCTCGTTCCAGAACAAAATTGCCGAAGAAACTTAGCCAAGAGCAATCAGCGTCTTGAGGAGGAAATACTCCACACTCTACAAACCAAAGACCAATCTTTCGAAGAAGTACACACAAAAGCAATTTAATTGTTGCTGCCCGGTGTGGCTTCAAGATGTAACGGTTCCAAGCTTTTTCAGCGCGTAGCAACTTTCCCACAATGATCGAAGTTGAAAAAAAGAATGCCACTTGCGGAAAGACGACGCTCGTGAATCTTATAGAAGAGCATAGGAGAGATAGGGAACTCACGCAATTGTAAAAAGGAAAATACCTCAGAAAACTGAGAAGAAGGTGAATAACATCCTCATCAATACAAAATTCTACGAAGCACGAGCCCTTGAACTTCAACACATAACAGAACATCTTGACACCTACGACAAAAGCTGTTGGGCGTTTAACAAAAAGCCTTCGACGCTAACAGGAATTGCACTACGAGGAAAAGCAACAGAATTCTTCTTTTTAACAGAAACCAAAAGCCATTCTACAGAGAATATGTCAAAGGCAAAGGCTTGTAAATGATATGAGAGAGTCCAAAGCTCCTCAAAGGCACAAAATAAGGACTTTGGAAGGCTATCTGGTTCATCTGCTGTGTCCACAACCCCAATATATTGACGTGGATTGAAATGAAGATGACAGACACCGCAGATACCCTCTAATGTGTGAACCAATCATTCACCGTGGAAATTGTCCAAGCAGCTTTGAGCAAACCACAAACTGGAGAGGCACCAGCAGTGATGGCCTCCACAATATGCTCAAAAAATTTACCAGCACTTCACCATCATATAGCTAATATAAATTCATATGTTTCTTCAAATCAAAATCTACCTCACTTCCTCACTGAAGGTAGAACATTTTTGTTACCAAGAGAGGGTGACACTAAAGGACCCCTCGAAGTACAGCTATAACCTGCCTTCAAAATTTCTACCAAACTCATAACAATCTTGTGGTTTCGCAAATGATGTGACACACATTGGAGAAACAAAACATTCTTAGGCAAAATGAACAGAAAGGATGTACCTGGATCTCAGGGATGCAAGGCAGCAACTCATTATAGACCTGGTAATTTATGGCGGCAATGCTTGAAAAAACAAAGAAACTTGTACGGCATGTACAAGATTACGTCGAAGCATTCGACACCGCGCCCCTTCTGCTCTGCAATTTGGAGATGTATACAAGTCCACCCCTTTATCCAAAACTTCCTGAAAAACTGCATGAGTCGATGGAATACCCAAGAACTGTATCTCTCTAATGGAAAACAATCGTCCACCACAGATACTATAACACATCCGCGAGGGATTTCTCACGGGCGACTCTTTAAGCCACTTTATGTTTTTTCAGCCTTAATCCCTCTGCTACTCTACTTAATCATCTAATATGGAATCGCTCTAAAAAAGGGGAACGCAACTCTTCTTCGTTCTCACATCTCCTATACATGGATGACCTGAGTCTATGCAGACACAGAGTCATAGGGGCAACTAATAAACGTGACTTGAGAAGTTCACTGACGACCGATTAAGAGTGTAAATTTCGGTTGGATAGTGCAGGATGAGTGGAATATCATTCGCGGTCAAATGCAAGTTTATAAATTTGGGAAACTGATAATAACAAAGCATTACCTTCCATGAAACCCCATGAAAGCTTACAAATACTTGTGGTTTCCAACAGTCACTCCAATCAACATACTGGTTACTAAGAATATACTAACAATGAAAGTGTGTAAACGATTGCATGGCTCTTAAAAACTCAACTCTCTGCTAAAACCTGTGCAGCGCCATCCAATTCATTTTTATCCAGTGCTGACATACTTTATTGCGTTATAAATGCGAGCAATACCAACCTCGACAACCTCCATAGAGACAATTTCGAACCCTATGACTCTCAAACACGAAAAACATCATCCCCATTCAAAGTACTGAGCTTTTACCCTTCCAAGGTCGCCAAGGAGGCAGGTTATTGTAGATCTTCATAAATCTACACAGCTTTCAATGCTTACTTCAGAAGATTACTTCTTGGAACATTGTGGAGAGTTCAGCAAGCAGTGAGTGCCAGTTGGATAAACTATAGACCATCTGAACTTGAAAAAGCTTGATCCGCCTGCTTCAAACCAATCAGTTGAAACGGAAGAGAAAGAAACCTTATGGAAAGAAAGGCACTGCATGGAAGGTACCCTACGAGTCCTGAGTTAAACCAAAAGTCGACATCTTGCGTCGCCACGCATGGCCTCCAGCAACGGGGATCTCTTTCCGGGACAGAACCTTCATGATAGCTATCCAGACCAATGTACAAACATCTGAACTACAGAAAACACATTCTGAGAGATTCTAACCATTCATTCCGACTCGTGTAAAATGTGAGGCGGCAGGCGAAACTATCCAACACGTGACAAGGTTGGATGTAGGCAGCCACGCACAGTTGGAATACATAAAGAGGCATGATGAATTGGGAACGAGTACACCAATCATTTGGCGTGAGAACGGGCTTACTCGCCCACTTCCGTGCCGTTACTTTAAATATGTGCCTCAGGAATGTGCTTAAAGTAGTGAGCACACACTCTACTGGGATCGTTCCATTATTCACTGACAGGACATTGTCGGCGGCAATAGACCAGAATATCTAACGTACATTGATAGAACCAAAAACCAGCAGTTTTTCCTTATCGATACTAATCAATACCCAATACCCACAAAACCATATCGGGAAAAATATCAAGAGGAAGATCCAGAAGTATACCAAATCTCGCCTATGAAGGTTCGCAACATCAGTGGAAACTTCAGTAAATGTGGCGACTTGCCTATAATAATATTCAGCTACGGAGTGATCCCGAAAATGACACTTCGGGCACTGGGGTTCTTTCACTGGATTACCAGGAATGTATATAAATATGGCAAAGACAGTATTTTGAATACATGCCGTATTGTCAGAAGCGCTCTGAACCTTCAGTAAAGCAACCACAAACCTGGTATCATACCTGGTGTGGTTGACATACCGACCAGTAGATACTGCTGAATAATGTAAGACAATAATAATATAATAATAATAATAATAATAATAATAATAATAATAATAATAATAATAATAATAATGAATTCACTCTCCGATACTTCAATCATTTACTCTCGCATGAAACTGATGAAGAGAATGAACATCTTCATTACTGATTCAAAATCAATGTTGTAGATCCCTCATTTTTTGACATTTCTAAGTTTTCAATCGCTCCTTTCTCTCGCATCTTTTGTAGCTTATTGTTGTTGTTTTGTATTTTCTAAAGAAAGTCGTACGCGTTGCCGATTAATTCAAGTTCCCTTTTAATACCGTTACTCAACAAGCGCATTCATTTAATGACAAGGGTACTGAGGTAGTTCTAAAAAAATGTTCAATAACCTGTATGTTATTTGTTGAAGAAACCCTTTATCATAAAATTTAGTCCGCAAATAGATTTTTGCATAAGCATTGAATGAAAACTCCATTTTAAACGTATTTATTAACAATATATGTTACTTGATAATGTTCCCCGAAAAGAGGGTTCTACAATTTTTAAATGCCTATTTAAAGTAGTTTGAAGACTCTTGAATATTAAACCACCCATTCTCAGAATTTAACGATTATAGAAAAATAACTAATATTAAATTTAAGTGAACTGATTGTTCCATGCGAAATACTCTAGCTGCTCCTACTTGACTAAACCTATGGCACCGGCGGATCCAGATACGAATTTTGGGAGGGGAAATTCAAAATATTTTGGCCAAAGGTGTCATAACAGATTTTGTTACATGTCGTAGGCTATACTTACTCACGCTGCAATACGATTTTATTAGTTTTAATGATTGTCCTCAAATGTTTTTGCTTGAAACTTTCATGACAAGTTAATCAATAGATACTGAAACATTTTAAGGGGCAAATTTTGCGTCATTTTCCTCTCCATAGATTCACACCTGCCTATGGCATCTTCAAAAGGTAACATAAAATGAGTTTCACTTAAATCGCCGAAAATACACATTTTAAAGTTACTTAGAAAGTAAACATACAACGATCATAGTTGTGCGTGTTAGGAGTTGGCAACTGTAAGTGAAAGAAGTTTCCAGGATCAAAGTCACATGTTGACCCGGCATTAATGTTATCGAAACAAAGGATTTTAAGCATTGTTGTGTAAACTATAGTTATTACTACGATACTCTTTGTAACCCGAATGTTACGAGAACTTACCATGGCATGACGAACAAAGCGCAAGGAGCTTCATCCTGCCGGAAATCCGCTTTCTGAAAATGAGGCCAAGAAAATTAGTTCAATTTAAATTGAAAGCATTCTTAATATTTAACTAAGATTACCATTTACTCGATTCAATAAAGATAAAATTATACTTTTTAAATCTCAAAAATTAATTTTCTCTTAAAAATATCCAGTTCACCGACTCACATAAGCATAGATCTGAAGCGGTAAAACAATTATTTATTATGCACAGCAGGGAGTGGGCCTGTCCGACATAACACGCATTGAGCAACACCGTCACTCAGGGATGTGCTTGTGTCTTTCCGCGGCGTCCGTTATCAGCTGGTATCTCCGAGTGTTTGCGTGACTCGCCTCGGGAAAGAGTCGTCCGGAGGTGGCAGAACACTCGCAGGGGCGCATGTCGGCGCCGGGTGGGGGGATGGAACGGGAGGGAGGGCAGGGGCGGGTTGTTGCGTCACGCGGGCCTCACTTCACCTGCAACCTCGCTCCGCCCCTCCGCCCCGAGGACGCCGCGAATGGGCTCGCCAAGTCGTGTTTGCTGCTTTACTTAGGCGACATCGCCGAACTTTCAAAGGAGTTCTAAAACGAAGTTTACAAAACCAATGCAAAGATTCATCGGTCCGCGCGGGGCTAGACAAGCCATCAATAGACAACGGATATTAAATATTCAAAACGTGCATTTATGACGCCTGAACGGTTTCGGCTTGAAAATTTGCATAGTAAAAGGCAGTAAAAACTCAAAATTACAGGGTGGGAATCACTAATACGAGCTAGTACACATAGCACTTCAACTTAAAATTACCAGAACGTTATTGGGTTGGAACAAATTTGGGTATTTATCCAGAATTTTAGAAAAATAGTCCATGAGAATGAAGATCAAAAACAATTTAAAATCCATTAGTACATTAATATTAAACTGACAATGATACCCTTCAATTATACTGTTTTTCTTATCACGCTATACGAATTTTTGTTTTTCGTGCAATTCTGTTCCACCTTTTTGTATTTCTGTGTTCAGAAGTGTTGTGCTGACCCTGATCACAAGTTCAGAAATCCCCAACCTCCACCCAACTCTACAAAAAAAAAATCATTCTCTACATAGATCAACCGGAGAACTTTGTCAATACTTAGTTGAGTAGACGTAGAGGAACTTGGCACATAGACTCACGTCCTTGTCTTATTCATCAAAAACGTTGCCTTAGCTGTGACTTTTATTACTTTCATTGAGTTAAAACGGCTCTGTGAGTATCTACAAATATGAGATCGCTTCCGATAGCTTCCGCTACCCTAACTTGACGCTCCTAATGCAAGCCCTCATATTGACTCACGAGGGAACTTCAGAGTTATGCTGTTGCTTTCGAGATGAATGGAAAGTTTTGAATCGGAAAGCTATTCTGCGATCATTTTGATTTGCCAAACGTAGCAATTCACCGGCATGTTTGAGGTTGATTTTCTCAGATATACCTTGCTCATTTCAATTTTCAATGCATTTATAAAAATATTTTGCTATTTCTAAATCAGAGTGAAACATATCATTCATTCCGTCTCGCCCAATTCAACTTGAAGCGTTACGGACAAATATAATTTAATAAAACCTTCGGTATTATTATTTTAAAAATCATTGAAGAAGCATTAAATGAGCATTAAAGAAGACAGTCTCTCGTCGGACAGAACACTCTTGGAAGATGATTCATGTATTTAAAACACAAAGTTTTCGTTTAGAAAGAAATTTGAGCATTCTACTCAATCAAATTTTGTGATTATTTCAGTAAATGAAAAGTAGTGGGCCCTAGTTGCGTTATCACTTGATTTTATTAACAAGTTTTAATATATAAACAATGACTTTTAATAAAATTGTAAAATCAATAGAATGTACGCTAATATACTGTCATTTATCATTACGTCGTATTCAAGACCAACAACAGTGTGTAGATGGAATGTAGCTGGTTTGTTCTGCGCGTTGCAATTGCCAACAAGAAGCAGTCGCAGCAGTTTTGTCGCAATTGCCTTGCAACAAAAAGCAGTCGACGTTTCGTCAGGTAATAGCGAAGTGAAGATAAGAGAGCTTTGTGAGTTTGTTTTTAAATGCAAATACTAGTGAGTGTATGTAAACCTAATCTCCTGAAAACATTTGACACATTTTACAAACTTTACAAAAAAAAATGGTCAGTGGGTGTAATCATGTGATGCATGACGTTATTAAGTTAAGCAAAATTTCTTGATATAGTCCACTGCACCACCCACGTGCAGATTTTGATAAATATAAAATATTGCATTTACATTTTCAGAAATATGTTTGATATCTTCATAGTAAATAGTGTTTGTATTGTTCCAAAATTTATAAACGTCCCTCATAATCCTTCACGTACTTGTAGAGGTTCCGCTATATTATTTTGCATAACTATCACAAAATCTAATAGGAAATTTACAGTAAGTTCTGTATAAAGAGTAGAAATTGCAAATTGTGTGTCTTAAGATCAGAAGTTATTATCATTATTTAAGATATGACAAATATTCAAATACCGCCAATGCACAAGAAAAGTGATATTTCTAAAAAATGCCATTTTTTGTAAGAAATGTTACATCTGGAAATGAGCTTTATTTCCTTGTCACAGACAAGATATTTTACTCCCTATATCGGCTATTTGTGAACGATACAATATTATTACTAGTAAAAATCAGTAGTGAGTAAAACAGTGATTCTAACTTCAATAAACATTTCTTCACTAAACTAAAAATGTTATGATTTTTATGTCTCTTCTCTCGTCCACAAAAAATTTGTAATAAACTATGTTGTAATGGCATTGTAATTAACATGTACGAGCCAAAATTTGCACAGAATGAAAACATCATTCTTATGAATACCAATCAAGAATTTCCCCCACTAAAATAATGAGGCATACACGTACATTCATTCGTCTTCATAAACGCCTTTACATTTTGATTACAGTTGATTTCATGAAACAATCATGTAGTGGTGAGAATCTCTGGTTGACAATCAGAAGGTTGCGGCCCTAAGTGTCCCTCTTACCAATTACAGGATAGCAAAAAACATGGGAGAGAGCACAGGCACTAATTACGCCGCTCGCCCAGAAGTATTGTCTCCGCACAAAAATTCTTAACAAGGCAATCACATGCTATTTTTCGAACGTGATAGAGACACAACTCCAGACTGTCGAAATTAATTCCATCATAGAGGAATTTTTAGGAATATTACATCTGTATGTAAGTCATCATTGCATCTGTTGCAGTGTGTGTCAATTCGGACACATTCGCCGCGCGCAATGCTATCCGACAGCAAGTTAATGATTCACCCAGTAAGAAAACGAAGAAAACTATAATTTCTGCCATACCTAACAAATCATTATTTGGTTTTTAGAATTATAAAACAAACCATAAAATTAAGAACAAATTACAAATTAAAACACAGAATCTAACTTCACATAAACATCTAAAGTAGAAAGTGCATTGTTTCACTACCGTAGTATGAAGTCTTCATCAAGTTTGATTTATTTTATTTTGAAACCTAAATTGACAATGTACATAATGTATTCTAAATTGTTAAATGTAATGTTTTGTTACTTGAGATTTCCAAATTAAAATAAATTATACCTAATGAATTCGCTAAATTACAGCAGTCGACTCGTTATAGTAGTTCATATTTTAGATTGAAGTTATGTTATGTATTATTTGATTTGAATATTGTTCTTAAATTTACGGTTTCTTTTATGATCTCTAAAAAACTAATACTAAATATTTGTCTGCAACAATGATTGAAATAATAGATTTATTTACATTGTAATTAGACGTTTACAATTATAATTCAGAAAATCAGGAGGATGAGTTTGCACAGGGGCAATTGTATCTCCCAGTCTCGAGCTCCGTTCCGCTGCGCCCAGCGATACGAGTTGTTTGCGTCGAGCGACTGAGGGAGTGCCATTGACCCACTGCCCCTGCCACTTGGTTGGCCCACGCAAGGCCGAAGCCCGGTACGCCGACCTCCCACGGCTGGTCCCGTGTATGGTAAGGGCTGTGGGAGAAGGAAAGAAAGATGGGACCTACAAACCACGAAAACGCAATGCCACTGTTTACAATGGACAGCAAAGTGTGCTCAAATGAAGATGTTCCACGCTCCAGAACTTTTTTGTTCCTCAATTGGCCGGTGCACTTGAATAATACTGACAGAAGCGTATTAATAATGTCTATGTAGAAACGCGAAAATTGCCACCAATATTTGTTTTAAATAATCCAAGCAAAAAGTTATATACAATAATAAGCTTTTTGTGTTCAAAAATTGGATGCATATATTTATGACTAACATTAAATATAATCTGGTCTGCAAATTTTAACTTTTTGGATGGGTTTTTATTTTAATAGGTGAATTACTTTAACGTGACCATGCTGAATATAAATTTGAAATCCATTTTTCTCTATCAGGAGCCAATTTTATACAATGTAAGGAATAATAAAAGTATACCTTTACTTTCGACTCTAATACATTTATTTTATAAAATACAATAAATCAACAAAAATATTTAACGGAAATAATGTTTGAGCACTGTGATCATGTAATCTAATTTATTAGAACATTCATTTTCTAATTTATTTTTTCAAAAGAACGTTATATGAAAAGAATGCTTCCTTATGTTTTATTTATCTCTTGTCAGTAGCCAGCAGCTAACTTACATTCCATCTTCCTTGATAACATTGTTCCATCTCCTCGATGTATTGGTGAAATATTTCATCCTGCTCCTCACTGACACAACCAAGATTTTTTATTAAAACATTCAAGTGAAAGTATAGGAAATATACTTTAACATCAGTGTTGCCAGACGTACGATAATTATCGTACTTATATCGATCATGATGTACAATGTACCATTATCGTACAGATAAAAGTACGATTATGTGACCAATTGAAGCCGCTGATCGGAGGATATATTCTTGAAACTTTCACTCTTGTGCATTATACGATTGACGCACTTTTGAACGTACATTTCCACATAGTGTGAGAATCTCTGGTTGACAA